GAGTAATAATTAATGTGCACTGATTAGTTACTCCATACCATGCATGTGCTTTAGAAGCTCTGTCTCATTTTATCTTGAACGCAGCCTGTGAGGTGGGTGCAATTATTGTCCTTGTTTTTCTGAGACACCTTAGAGGACATAAGAGCTCTGTCCAGGGTCATACAGTTAATAGGTGGTGAAGCCTGCAGAGTCTCTGCTCTTACCCATGCTGCCGCCATGGTGTAATTTGTAATAAGACTTAAAAATTTAATCATAAAGAGTAGAAATGTGACACATGCAGTTAAAAAAAAATACTAAATGATATTCATAGAAGTAACGATAAAGAACAGAAATGTAGCAAGTCAGCTGAGAGTGAGATGAGAGGCATAGGGAACTGAGACAGAAGCGAGGAAGGGGTACCCTGGAGAGGGAGGAGGAGAAGGCAGAGCCCAGCATCACTCATCCAGGGAAAAGATACTTTATCGGACAGAGATGTCACTGCCCTGTGATCCTCGGAGATGAGGATGGAGGGAAAACCCTGGCTTTGGTTTTTAGGAGGTAATTATTGACATTCAGGGAAGCTTTTGGTGGAGTACAGAAACAAAGGGGGGTTGCGTTGGGTGAGCTGTTGTTTTTTTAAATTTTGTTCATTTATTTATTTTTGGCTGCTCTGGGTCTGTGTCGCTGCGTGCAGACTCCCCAGTTGTGGTGAGTGGCGGCTTCTTCGTTGCGGTGCACGGGCGTTAGGCGCAGGGGCTTCAATAGTTTGGCATCTGGACTTAGTTGTTGCTCCTCAGTTTGTGGGATCTTCCCGGACCAGGGATCAAACCCATGTCTCCTGCATTGGCAGGTGGATTCTTAACCTGCGGACCAGCAGGGAAGTCCAATATTGGGTAAATTCTGAGTAACCATTTATGTCTCAGTTGCTGATTCTAATAGTAGATTAGCCCATCAGGGTACACAGTCCTGATAAGTAGGCCAGGAGTGAGAAGTAACACAGAGTGAGGAGGTCTGCAATAGACTGAAGGTCAGAATTGCCTGATTTTTGATCTTCCAAAAGAAGCCAGAAACACTGAATTTTTAGTGTGATACCTCCAGATTTCTAAATGTTAGTTCAACTAAGAAAATAAAACAGTTGAAGACCAACTATAATACATCTCTGAGCTGAATTTGACCTCCCCAGCTGCAAACTTCTAGAAGCCTCTTTCCAGAGGTTTAGAAATGAAGACGCATCTCAAAGAAGAAATAATTCCAGGGATAGTTTAGGATTGCATTTGAGATGTGTGTGGGGTGTGTGTGTGTGAAGAGCTTCTTGTTTTTATCTTCTTGGGGTGAATAAACAAAAACTTACTAAGCGGGAGAAATATAATAAAGACATCCAAAACAGTATAGAGAGATGTCTGAAAAATTAAAGTGCCAGTGACAAGAAAAGCATTGAGGTCAATTATTAAAAAGATGAGAAGATGTAAAAGAGCAATTGGGAAATAAAGAGAGCCTACTTTGGGGCTAGAAGATGTGTATTGTAAGCTAAGTGGGGAGTCAAATGGAGCCTGGAACTTGGAAGTTTTGTGACAGCTGCTTAGGGAATAGACAGTGGCAAAAGTGTAGAATAATTAGAATTGTGGAGTAGCAGTGAAGACCTAGCTTACTTCAGCTATCCTTTAGTTTTTAAGTGAGCATCTATTTATATGATATAGTGAGGTAACAGAGATACCGCAGGAGACACAGTTTTGAATAAGACTTAATTGCTGCCTCCAAGAACTTGTTATCTTACTTATGATCTGTAGCTCTAAACTGAACTGATAGATGGGCTAGTTCCCCAAATTTCATTCATTCACTTGGTAGTCGATACTTTGCCAAATCTTTGAATTATCTATATGGTTATTTGCTCAATAGTTTTCTTTAAACTATCTCCTATTTTATATACAAAAATAGAAAAATGAAAATAGAAAAGACGGTAGAAAAATGAAGCCACATATCATTACTTGCATTGGTGTATTTTTTCAAATGTGCCTCTTAGAACATACAAAGCTACTTGACATTCTGTCAGAAGTTCATCTCTATTTCACCTAAAATCATCCCGTATCTTACCAATAAAACATATACCATGTCTGGAGGAAGATAGAACTGGTTAGTGGGTAGAATTCTTTAGGTCATTCAAAGCAAGACTTTTTCCACATTAGAATATCTGCATATGGCCTTGGTTTTTTATTCAGATCAGGTCAACTTCGATGGATAAAGGCAGGCACCTCTTTGTCTGACAATTTTAAAATCATGCTATTTGAATACCAAGAAGGTTGGAGCTTGCCTGCAGAGCCTTCCAAATTAATCTAGTCTGGAAAAAAAAAAGAAAATGCCATCAGGTAACAGGAGATTTGTCAGCTGCCCTGCTTACACTTTTCATATAAAACATAAAGGTTGGCAGATTACAGATGAAAGGTCAGTCCAGCAAAAAAGAAAACATGTCAGACAATCTCATAACATAGGTAACAGAGGATGGAAGTTGGAAACTACTATTGGATTCTCAGAAAGAGATGAGTTTGTTGGCAGTGTGTAAATATCATGACGATTTCCGCGGCTGTTCATTTTGGTAGCTACTTCTTTATGCTGAGTCTCCAAAATGTGATTTAAACGATACTGAAGAGGGCTGTCTTCCTGAGAAAGATTTACTTTGCAGTAGTTTTATTTTTTTCCTTTCACCGATCTGAAGGGGAGAAAAGTACTTCCTTCAGGTCGCCTTGTTTCCCAGTCTCACCCATCCCATCCCTGAAGCAATGCTCTAAAATGGAAAAAGCAAGAAGCCAAGGCCTCTTGCAAGAGCAGTGGTGCATAAAGACAGAGTTTGCAGTGAGTCCATCATCATGAATCATTAAATGAGAACTGGCAGCTAAAGCATGATTCGTACAAATAGAGTTGCTCAAAGATTCAGCCAGGTAGGACCTGCCTTGGAGCAGATTGCTGTCCAGGAAAACATTTCAGACTGTTCCAGCCTTGGGAGGAAAGTGGGTCCGGGGAGGTAGTATTGGGCCAGTGGGGCCACAGAGCCATGATGTTGAAGTAATGGGGCATCTCAGAAATTTCTATCATGTACAGTGCTGGGAATTTTCAGACTCCTGAATACATCTTTTATCTGTATTTTAAGTGTAGGGAATTGTGCAAAATATCATCATTTTATCCAAGTAACTTGCAACATACATCACAATCTTATTGCCTGACGCTCGTGCAGATTATAAGCTCTGCATGTGTTTAAGAGAAGTTTCTTACTTTCTTTTTTTAGTCTATTTATTTACTTACTGGCTGTGTTGGGTTTCCATTGCTCTTCGTGGGCTTTCTCTGGTTGCAGTGAGTGGAGTCTGCTCTCCAGTCTGCAGCGGGTGGGCTTCTCATTGTGGTGACTTCTCTTATTGTGGACGCAAGCTCTAGGGCGTTCGGACCTCAGTGGTTGTGGCACATGGGCTTAGTCGCCCCACTACGTGTGTAATCCTACGGACCAGGGGTTGAACCCAAGTCTCCTGCATTGGCAAGCAGATTCTTAACCACTGGGCCACCAGGGGTGTCCTTGAGAGAGGCTTCCTATTTTTTTGGAGCTCTTCACTGCAGCGTTTTGAATAACTGAGGCCAAACACATGTCACACAGCTCTCTGGGCCAGTAGTCAAGGATATCCATTGATACTTAGCCACGATTTTTATCTTCCTGCAGTATTGTTTTCTGCCTGTTTTCATCTCTCTCATACGTTTCCCCATTAGCCCACATTCTGTGTATCTAATTTTAATACTGTTTACAATTTGCATTGGTGAAATCCAACTGGACCTATGACAAAACTTGCCCTCCCCCCCAAATATAATTCTGTCTCCAACTGTAAGCTTCATTAATTGATTCATTGACTCTGGCTTGCTGGTAAGGATGAATTCTTACAACAAATATATCCAATTCCTGCTAGTGGTAACTTTCATTCTTCCTGGAATAGCAGGAAGCATTAATTTTGCATTGGGCCCGGGAGTCTCAGGAAGCTGGAATTATAGGCACTGTCTTCCCACCCTTTTCCTCCTCAAAATAAAAATGAAATAAAATAAAATGAGCAGCTGCCCAGTGGTGAGGCTTGAGGGAAACGTAATGACAAAGAAGAGAAAAGGGCATTAATTTCAGGATGGGGACAGCTGCCGGGCACTATCTCCCTTTGGATTTTGGTTCTTATAGCATCACGATGAGTTATTAATATGTATGATCTGCACTTTATTCAAACATTATAAATCTATGCAGAAGTCTGGTGTTTGGGTTTTCCTTTATAGCTTTCATTCTTCTTCCCAGAATTATCTCATTTTGATCGGGAAACTTTTGCATAAAAAGCACACACAGCGAACTCACATTTCCATACCATAAATATTAAAAGGGGGTTAAGCTTTACAGTTTCTTTTCCCATCCCAATGGGAGGAAAGTTAGCCTTCTAATCAGGGGGTCATTATTAATCTTTTTACTCACAAGCCAAAAGGTAAACTTTAACTTGCCGTACGAAATTGTACTGTGTGCTTCCTTTGATTTATGCAAATTGTGAAATATGTATGCCGTGTCTTTTGTACTAAGGTGATCCTAAAAATCTAGCAGTGAGTGAATGGAGTTGTTAGAAACAGTTGCTCAGCTTATTTTTTTAAGGATTAAAGTCAAATCTAGACCTTTTTTAAGGCTTATGACTAAAGTACTTTTTGCTGGCTGATTCTAAAGTATGGATCACAGTATGGATTTATCACAGTGAATCTGTAACAAACAGAAAGGGAAATGGAACTAGAAAACTTAATGTCTCTTTAGTAGCTTTTTAGCTTCTGAGCAGCTTCCTGTCTCCCGTTTATTGTCATTTTTGTTAGCATAAAGGAGTAGTCATAAATTTTGGTTCCCATGGAAATATAAAGGAATGTGTGAGCTATTTCATTTGGGGATACTGTCTGGTAATCATGCAGTCTTGGCTGTTGTACTTTCGTGATGGGAAATGAACGTGCTAATTGGTGCTCTTTTTTTTGTATTTCAGGAAACCTGCCATATGAATATAAAATAGTGATTGCTGGGAATCATGAACTGACATTTGATAAGGAATTCATGGCAGACCTTGTTAAACAGGACTACTACCGTTTCCCCTCTGTGTCCAAATTGAAACCAGAGGACTTTGACAACGTTCAGTCCCTGCTGACGAACAGTATTTACTTACAAGACTCGGAGGTAACAGTGAAGGGATTCAGGATATATGGTGCACCTTGGTAAGTGTTCATTCCAGCAGTCTTCCCCTCCTTTTTTTTTTAGCTCAACGCTGAGAAAGCATGGTGCCAGCTTAAGTGTCTAAAACCAAAAAAATAAAGGTGAAATGAAACCTTTATGTTGTATTTCCAACAGAACATGAATTTTGGCACTGCTGTGAATTGTTCGTTGTAATGCAGGTTTCTTTAGGCAAGATCAGTGAGGGCAGAGCTTTGGTACAGTAGATAGAAGTCTGTTTGTGTGACTGGGGCTGCACGTGTGTTGGTGGGACACAGAAAAATTGGGGGGAAGGTCACCGTGTTACCCTCCACGCAGATTCAGCCACTCTGAACATTCCACCATCCTTAGGTGATTCATTTCCTCCTTATGTTTTACATTGGAAACACTCATGAAATATTTTGCTTAGAGTTTCTCAAATCTTGCTACACATGAGAATCACCTGATCAACTCTGAAGAAATACAGATTTTGAAGCCATACCCACCCCCCCCACCCCCCCCACCCCCCGCCAAGATGCTGATTCTCCTTCTTAAGGTGGAGCCCAGTGACCTGTATTTTTAAAGCTCCCCAGGCAAGACTGATTAGAGAAGGGGATGGCCACCCACTCCAGTATCCTTGCCTGGAGAATCGCATGGACAGAGGAGTCTGTGAGGTCGCAGATTCGGACAGGACTGAGCGACTAATACACACATACATACACGCAAGACTAATCCCCAGACAGTTTGCAAGTTATAGGTTAAGAGCTCAGTTCTAGAATTCTTGGTACTGCCGTTCTCAGCTCTAGAAAAGTTGAAGCTGGTACATATTCTTTGGGACCAGATAAGGAAGCATGTTGATCTTGGCTTTGTCAATCGGCAGTTGTCTGGTTTTGAAGAGGTTAACTCATAGAGGATGAGCCTCAATTTCTGCATCTCTAAGATGGTGAAAATAATACCTACTTTAGAGGGTTATGGTGAGGATTAAATTGGCTGATGTTGCAATGAATTGAGAAGAGTGTCTGGTGGTTTGCTTAGAGCAATATTAATAATTACCACTTTTCAGGGCTTAGCTCTGCTACTAAGTATTCATGTGAACTTAAGCAAGTCACTTAGGTTCTAGAGCCAGTTTTTGCATCTTTAAAATTGGAGTGTGAGATCAGAAAATCAATCGCAGAGGGGTCTTGGATTTTTATTTATTTGCTTTCTTACTTTTTGAGAGCCCTATGTGTATATAGAGCACAAAAACTGACCTTTACTTATGCAACCTGGAAGAGTATCCTGGTCATGCCCTAGGAGTTGTGAATAAGGCTGGAAAAGGACAGAGTGAATTCAGATTGGCCACCTCACTCAACTTCCCAGGGCTTCCCTGGTGGCGCAGTTGTAAAGAATCTGCCTGCCCATGCAGGAGACATAAGAGATACAAGTTCTATCCCTGAGTGGGAAAGATCCCCTGGAGTAGAAAATGGCACTCCATTCCAGTATTCTTGCCTGGAAAATTCCATGGACAGGGGAGCCTGGTGGGCTGCAGTCCATGGGGTCACAAAGAGTCAGACAGGACTGAACACATACCCCTACTGAACAGTTTGGATTGTCCACTTTAGAATAGAAAGTTGGGACATTTCCTGTGATTTTTTTTTTTCTAGCTTTACTAGTTAGTGTCCAGAAGGACTGATTAGTGGATACAGGAAGAATGTTAGTCGTTCAGTCATGTCCAACTCAGTTCGGATCTCACTGAAGATTTTTTTGGTTAAAATTAATATTCCCAGAACTGCTGTAATCTGAACGTTGGTTTAGGAATGCTTACATCAGTGTTTCTGTACAGGGACAACAGATTTCCCATTTCCACCGCTTGTTCAGCTTTTGGACTTGCACTTTTCCCTGAATACCTCCATGCCTCTGTTTTCTCATCTCTAAAGTGGGAAATAGCAATTTTACTTTTCTGTCATGGTTGTCGTAAGTGAGTTAATGCATCCACAGCATGCAGAACGCTTTCTGACGTAAGAATAAGCACTTGATAAGTGCTAGCTGTTACTGGCCTAGGGGGGTTGGTGTTTCCAGTCTACTTTGTCCTTTGTCCACCTTTGTACAAAGATGGTCGCTCTGGGAGTCAGATGCAGTGGGGTCTAACCTTAGTTCAGTGTCTGGTGACTGCGTGACAAATCCGTTAGCTTCTCTGTAAAACCAGGGCAATGAGGTCTGCCCCACTTTCTCTCTGATGCCACCCACTTCAGTAGTCACCCAAATTAGAATATTCAAAGAGCATGTATTTGTGGACGTACTTGATTATTTTAATGTTTTGTACAATTTTTAGCCTCTTTCATTATTAAGAATTTGATTGGAAGCAAATTTGGGGGGATTTATATCAGAGCTGTTACTTTTATCCTGTCAGCAAAAAAGATGTTTCCATCCCTGGGATTCACAAGTAGGGGGATGGCTGCTTAGTAACCCATCAGCTATTCCAACCCCAAAATAATGTGAACTGATTTAAGAATTTTTTAAACTTTTTATTTTATGTTAAAATATAGCCAGTTAGCAGTGTTGTGATAGTTTTACCTGGACAGCAAAGGGATTCAGCTATACATATATCTTTTCTCCCCCAAACTACCCTCCCGTGCAGTTTGGCACATGACATCGAGCAGAGTTCCATGTGCTATACTAAGACCTTGTCAGTTATCCATTTTAAATATAGCAGTGTGTGTGTGTCCATCCCAAACTCCCTAACTGTCCCTCCCCCTGGTAACCATAAGTTCGTTCTCTAAGTCTGAGTCTGTTTTGTAAGTTAGAACTGATTTAAGTTTGATTTCCATGCTTTCCCAATGACTTTTCCAGAGAAAATATTAAGTTCTGATTTGCTGATATTGCTATTGGTTTTAATTTAAAAACAAATAAAAAAATGAGAACCTTGATACTAAGGGTTTCCATCATGTCACAGATTTCTCGAAAGTAATTGCCATCTGACCAGGGAGAGAGCTATTAACTCATTTACAAAATGTGAATTGTGACTCAGTTTTGCTTTAAACAAGGTATATTAGTTCATATTCATTCCATGTTTATAACTTGTAGCACCGCTGAAAGCTTCCTAAAGACCAGAGAGAATTAATGCAGTGTCTCCTGACTTACAATTTAGGAGGAATTTGTATGTGGAAAATAGCTTAAAACAATCCTGAGCCCTCGTGGGTGTTTGCAATTGGAGTGCACTGTGGTGCTTATTACATCTGCAAGGAAGAGGGTTTGGCTGTGGTTTGATGGGTCTGGGAAAATCCAGTGACCTACACTGAAGAAGTAAATGGGGTGCCTTGTCCTGGAAGAAAGGTGTTTCCTTGGAAGGAAGGCAAGAGTTGACTAGTTCCCGAGAGGAGGTGGGAGGGTGGGAGGGTGGGCGGTGGGAACCTGGCTTGGGAGGCCTTCTGCCGGATTCTGTGGCTTCTGTATATATTCCTTCACCTCATCATTTTTCTACGAGTCTTAAAGAAAGGAATCAGGCATGATGTATTGTCACAGGATTAACCGTGCAGTTAAAGCTTTTCTTAATTTCTCCTATTACCTTTTTCTCTCTTTCTCTGGGGGACAGAAGAAGGTATTGTGTCGCCTGGCGGTTAGATCTGCCCAGGACTCTGCCCTTGTTCAGCTAAGCTCGTAGATTTCTTGTATCCCTCATGTTGGTTCTTTGCCACCGAGACGGTTCCTAATCTCTTATGGTCACTTTCAGCTCTTGTATGTCTTTTCCAAACGCTGATCAGAGGAGACAAAATTCTCATCTGTCAGCTATCAGCCACTGTGCTAACTCACTCCCTGCTGGTCTGGCCAGGGTGGAGGAGAGGTAGCATTTTTAAGTCATCTTTGTATTTTTGGTTACTGGATCTGTAGCCAGCATTTTAGTGCAAGCAGATTTCAACAAATTCACTCGTGGAACTTGGTATTTAAAAGTTGACTAGCCTCTTCTTCTTTTTTCTTTTTAAATTTCAGTTGTTCTTTTGCCACCAAGATGCTTAGGTAGAAAAAAAGAGAAAAAAATCTGGGTATAAATGGATCAGTAGCCAAGCTGCAAAGAGTAAAAAGTCCATCTTGCTCTGACCTGAGTATGGCAGTTGTATTGTTCGGCAGTGTACCTCGTTCCCCTCCTGAACAGAAATGCAGAGCTAGTCTCCCGTGGCTTTTAATGAAAATGAGTGGGGCTTTCCATCGTCCAGGAATTTGATCTCTATGCTGACCAAGGGTCAGGAACAAAGAGCACACTTTTTCATGTTAGAGTAGACCCAGGTGTAATTTGTCAGATTTAGTAACTGTGGAGGAAGTGCCTTAACTTCTGCAGCCAGAAAATTAGATGGAGTCCCAGGCAGCGTAATTCTAAAATGGTTGAAACAGCAAGAGAAAGCCCATCAAGCTGCGTTTTCAAAGGAAGCATGAGCAGGATATATTTTCTCCTTTCTTCTCTCCCCCTCATTTTGGATCATCAATATGTTGAGTTCGTCCGTGCCTTTAAATGTAATTTTCTCAGTGTTTTTCAAAGTGGGAGTTAAGTGTTGATTCAACTCTCTGCCGCATTTATACATAATTGTGTTTGCACACAAACAGCTACAAGGTTGCTCACATTTCCTTGTTCTGATCAGCCCCATGGTACTTCACCCTGTCAGAAGAGCTTCATATGTTTTTATTTCCAATTATAAGTTTTGGGATGCATCATGTATTTTGCTGACAGTCTTCAAGTTCTGGCAATAGCGAACAAATTAACAGCAGATATTGAGTGAGAGGATTAGAAAACCAGTGGGCAACTCATATGATAGAATTCAGATACGGGGATGAGTGGAATGGGCTCATTTATTTTATTTTCATAGTCATACTTTGTAATTAACTTGGGCCAAAAAAAAAGAAAGAAGAAAAGAAAGAAACATCTCTACATTCAAGAGGAAAGTCCGTGGACGCTGAAGAACAGCAATGTAGGAACAATATTGTTTCTGTACCACAGTCTCAAGGATTCCAGCTTTTATTCAGGAGGGTTCAGGAAGGTCTTGGCACAGAGGAAGGT